TTATTTAAAAACAAATTTTTTAATATTTATTCATTTATAAGGAGTTTAACAAATTAATCAGTGTATTTAATACAAGTTAAGTCTAACCGTGCATATTTGCTTTAACGGATAAAACGATGTTGCATATTTTCACTATTTTCACTACTTTTGATAGGAGGAAAATCAAAGTGTCGGGTGATATTCTTCATTGTGAATTGGTAATGCCATTAGAATCCGAAATATGGTTAAGTTAACCCCCAGAAAAGCATATTGCATGCATGTGAATCCTCGTGCGATGACACGTAACACGTTCATTACAAAAGTCTACGTTTCGGATAAATATTCAAATAAAACATTGAATATTAATTGTGGTATCGTTTGCTGACGTTATATTTTTCTCTTTTTAGTTTAATTCGATTAAAGATATATTTTGTTCCTTTAGATTTTATGTATAGCTATTTTTATCATGATGTATTCAAATTTTGTTAACTTCCTTTTTTCTCATATCCCAATTCCCAAACTCTCAACTCTCATTGCCATCATATTTTTGTCAGTACTAAACCATGGTTTGAAATTATAGGAGAGGCGACGTAACCCATTATTCTAAGAACAATGTTTTCATTTTATCGATATCAAATTAAGAAAGGCATCAATTCCTACTATCAGTACTATGCATAGTTATCAAATTACATAATCTCCCATTATACTTATATTCTCTATCGGCAAGCAAACTTTGATGGGATAGTTCGTATATATTATTAGTTAAGATATCAAAAATTTAAGAGATGTATGATTTAAAAAAACAAAAAAACAAAAAGGCATAATTTGCCATTAATACAAAAAAAAATTATAATTTACAAACTAAACAAAAAATTTAAATCCAATACCCAAAATTGTGCCACATACCCTCTTTTTTTACCAACTTTTTAAAATACTTTTTTTTGTTATTCATTAAAAAAGTCCAAAAAAAAAATCATATATCCATTATTTAGATATATGTAAGGAAAAATTTGCCAAAAATACAACAAAAAAATTTTAATTTGAAAACTAACAAAAAATCTCAAATCCAATGACCTACAATTTGCCACATACCCCATTTTTTATAACATTTTTTTTTATTATTCACCAAAAAGACCCTATATATATGTAATGTATGTTACTATTCTATTTTTGTAGCTTTTATAGTTAATTTGATATATTAATTTTTAAAATTGTACATAAACACTAGAAATTTTAACATTTATCCTGAATATTACTAACTCCTATTATTTTAACTTAAGAAAAATATTTAGAAATCAAGATTGGAAAACGAAGACAAAAAAAGAATCTGGAACTTTTTACTAATGCGCTGCCACTTGGCTGGTATATATCAATTTATTGATTACATTCTCGTGGCATTTTTTATTCTTTGTAACGCATACATTTTTCTTGTCCATTTATATTACCTAAGAAATAAGGAATAATTTTATTAATATTTTGGAAATATAGATTCTATTCATAATCCATTCAAATACGTACCGTGGGTATATTCCATATTAATTAGCTTAGCTGCATTTTCTCTCGGTGAAAAAATGATGATACTATTTAGTACATACATTTGAGCAGTTTATGAATCTTGATATCCTAATGTAGTCAATGAATTTATAGAATTTTTTAAATATTCATTCGCGTTAGCTCCATGTTAATGAATTTTTTCACTGAATCAAAAGTTATCTCATTTGTCATCTCAAAGTATTTATTTTACCAACACACCA